TTTTACATGAAGAACAAGAAATGATAATCCTTCTTTTATCTTTCTTAATAAAACCTTCTTGTCTTTCATATTTTGTTGCAAAATTCAAATTGATTTTTAGCCATTAAAAAACAACAGAGAGATTCCTTTATACTTCTTGGCAGAACACAAATCAACTTTATGTCATCTACTTAAGAAACTATAGGAACTTCCAAAATAGTTAATACCTAAACATGCACTTGCTTTTCTGATAAAATGAGGAAAAACATGGGATGGCGCTAAATAATTAAAGTAACATTAAAGACATGAGAACATTTTGCTTAACTAATATGTTTCATTTGCTATGCACAGATGTGTTTTTAAACACTCATTTAAATCACTGCATTATGGTAGATTCTTTTCAATGCCTTTGAAGTCAATCAGCATGGAGTTTGGGGAGAGGTGGCCAGAACTCAGTGGAAAAATGCTGCATAAGCACCAAGTATCATAACAATTTTAATATATCTAACTACTCCACTCTCTTCTATCCGAATACCTAACACAACTTCACCTGTTTGGTACCTTGAGGTGTTTTTTTTTTTTTTTTTTTAATTCTCTCTGGTAAGACACAGCTAACTTAGTTTTTTAAAACTAGAGCAGAGAACAATATCATCAAAAATGACAGATCCCATTTATTTCCCATTTGGTGTCTAAAATAGTCACACCTCTCTCCATTAGGAAGTGAAGTACAAGGCTAACAAATGACATCTGTTACCAGAGAGAGTGGAAAGGTCACTTCTCCAGGAGTGGGGCATTCCGGGCTGTTCTTCTCCCAGGGCTGACAACATCCCTGGGTCCCCACACTGCCCAGGGTTCCACTGACACTGTTATGCCATTTTCCTGAGTTTAAACCATTTAATGCTAAAGGGAATTGAAGAAAGAAGGCTACTGTCTGTTATTCTCTATTGAAAAGACATTTTTAGTATGAGTAAAAAAAAAAGTGGCATATGAAGAAATGGTATCCCTTCTCCAAACATTCATCTAAAATTATCAATAGCATTGGTTTTGTTTTCATTTTGTTGACCTTAAATTACTAATTTACACAAATAATATCAAAACTACAGAGTTATTTTCAAAAATTAAGTCATTAATTACAAAAGCTGAGTCAATTTATACTCTCTCCATCTTTGCCCCTAAAATCCTCCTCATTCCTCCCCTCCTTGCCCTAAGGAAACATTGCTGTGAGCTTGGTGTATATTATTCCAGTATTTTCAAACACTTATATTACAAAGTATATCCTGGTCACTCATTTTTTCTAATAAATTTTGCTCAAATATTTTTAAAGAATAAGTTGTTTGTAAGGGAGGAAACAAATCGATTACCATGAGCATTTTATATACTTTGTGTATTTTCTTGTTGAATAGAATTTGGATTATTAAATTACTCATCTTGAAACTTTTGATGTCTTCAGTGATGCTGCACTAATTTATCTTTTCAGAACTGAGCGAGTACTGCTGAGGCAGACTCAAAATAGAGCAAGAGGGTGTCACCCATGAGCCACCCACAAGGGTTCTGGGCTGCACCTTTAAACCACACCTCTGTGCTTTGCAGACCTCAAGGTTGGAACCAGCTGATTCCTTCTTCAATCTCAACCGTTCTTATACATGCCAGATGATAATCCTAGGTGATTCATCACTGTACCATGGACTTGGGTAATGACACAGTTTCCAAAAATAACCATTGGTGAACTAAAAAGTGAAGAATCATCAGAATGTGTCAGGAGAAACAGAAAAGTCTGCTTTAAGACTGTTTCTGTGGAATCTTCTTTATTTCTACCTTCCTATCCCTCACCCCCATATGACCCTCAGATCACTAGTCCGCATATGTCACTGGGAAGGCATGAGTATAGCCACGAGGAAGAGTAGGAGCCAATGATTAGAAAGCTAGTTCATCAAAAGTTGAGTTGAAAGAAAGTGGGAGACTCAAAGAAATAGAAACAATTCTGGAGATAAGAGCTGACACACATAATGCACTGGTCAGGCAAGAAAGAAGCAGGAGACTGGAAAGGGTTGCTAACCAGTGGTGCTTGTTTGGTTAGACATAAAGCACCTCTAGAAATAAGGATCCAGGTGGTGGTGATGAATTACAAAGCTCCTTTGCTCAAGGCTTTGATGCATGCACATTACACAAGCTTGACTATTTGGATACCACACTCACTATGCAATCTTCTAATTATAATCCAAAATTTTCCAGGTATGAAACATTTGGGCTTTGTAATTCCAAGAATACTTACTGAAATGTATACATGTGTATATATATGTATGTATGCATAAGTGTATATATACACACACATGGTATATACATATGCACATGAGTATGTGTGAATATATCTGAAGGGTCTTCAGAAAGTTCCTTGGAGGACCCTATCCATGTGCATTCCCTTGGGTAAGCTTGGCAGGTATGACACATCCCCAAGAGGTGAGGACAACCTCATTGTACTGACATCAACTTTCTGAGACTGTAAGATGAAGGTCCTGATTCCAGATTGTGGTAAATTCTTAAAATAATAGCCACCTGTCCTTCTTGCCACTGCTTCTGCCTTGACATATTTTGTGACTGCCAACAGAAATAACCTCAGCTCAAAGTCTCTAACAAGAAAACGTGACCCAGTACAGAAATTAGTTTAGTACTCATCTCCCACAATAAAGTAAATAGGAGTTGTGCTAATAAAATCTGAGACATCTGTTGTTCTCCCAGTCTCCTTTGCTTATAAACAACACATGATCAAATTAATAAAAAATATAATAGCTACCACTAGTTGGGATCTTACAGTACTCAACTTCACAAATGCATTGATTGACTTGTCCTTCAAACAATTGTGTGAGGTTGCCCAAACTGTTCCTTATTTTACAGTTTAAAGAACTAAGGGATACAACTGTAAGGACCATGTACAAAGTTTACAGCAAACCACACAAGCAGAGACCAGATCTGGCTCCACATTCAGTACCCACAGCTGCACTGAATCCAGCTGTCTGGGGTAGGCTAGAGGCCAGGACTTCATCTCCATCAAGGATCCACTTGGGTGCCCTGGCGATCAGCACTGCTTTATAACTTGAGTCATTAGGTTGACTTAAGGAATTTCTCCAGGTCACCGCTTGGCTCTTACTACCTAATCAACATTAAGCCAAAATGACATCTAAAGCCTGCCGGCTCCAGAATCCGGAAATTCTGTCTAAATGATCACTAATCACTGCACACTTTCAATACCTGCTAGTCTCCCTCAGCACTGCTTCTCGACAGAGCAAGCTGCAGACTGTTGTGTTGCTCAGACTACGGCCTGGGAGCTCTGGATGCCCTGCAAGGCTCCTTTCTGTGCTCCTGCTCCCCCTTCCTGTGCCACGTGTAGGTTCCCTCCAGGTACGGAAGCTTATCTGAGTGGAAACAGAAGCCCCTCGCCATCCTTAGCTCATCCTAGTTTCATGGAGTCATCTCCTCAAGTGCCGTTCTGATTCAGTTCTTCCTGGCAACAGTCTTTTTCAGTTGACAAATAAGAAGGCTCTGAAGAAACAAGGAGTGAGGAACACTTCCCAGGGAAGAGAAGACTGTTCAAAACCTGGACAGTGAATGATTGCCACAACTTTTCTTGTCTCAAGGAGAGCTAGGAAGTAGGTAGGGTTATGGTAAGTATGTGAGTTGACACGGCATTCTTTATGGAACCACGGTTTTAAATCCTACACATTATTTTCAATGTCACCAAACCAGAATGGAAATATAACAAGAAAGCCTGGAGCATGCCACGAGTCACCGTCTTTCAGACTAGCATATGTACACACTGATCAGTCAAGAAAAACTGAACACATTTCCATTTACAAATATCATTGGTAATCTGACAAAGGAAGTAATTCAAACATCCATACCTTTTTGGAACACATCAATTAGTTTAATCTTGGCATATGAAATACCCATGACTTCTGTGAGGTATCCAATATTGCAAAGCACACTTAAAACTACAATCTCTCAATGATATGAAAATGTCTCTCACACTTAAGGTCAGAACATATGATACAGCTGATGCCTGATGCAACACATACCATAATGTCCTAATCAAAGTCCTCATTAATAGCATATTAACTATAAAATTTTTGTCCTGTGATTATCACAGCCCAGTTTTTAACAGAGTAGATACTTCAACAAATTTTATATATACTCCAAATTCTCTTATTGCCTGTTACATCCTACATAAAACAATAGGTGAAAATTAAAAAAAAAATATCTACAGGTAATATGCTTTATACAATTTAAATCATTTTTCCATTTAAAAACTATCAATCTCAAATTGATGAGTATGCTGTTCTTGCAATTTAGAATGTGATAACCGATTTTATTGTAATACATGCTAACCCTTCATAAAGTGAGATAGTCACCATCACAGATTCTTTTCAATATTAGCAGGTTAAAAGGAAAAGCGACATAGATTACATAATTTTATGATTGCACAAAGCATCTGCCAGACCTGCAATGAATATTTGGCTGCCAGAGGTCTCAATTTTCCTTTCATCAAAACTCTTAGGAATTTGCATTCCAAAAAAGGGAGATTAGACTGCTTTAAATAGGATCTATTTGCTTTAAAAATGATAATTTCTGAACAAATGAACTTTTTATTCAAGTTCTGCATAGACTGTTTGATGGATGCATTTTACTGAGATCTCATGTAGAATTAATTTTCTTCTTATATACTGTCTCTTAAATTACACATTTCAGCATAATAGAGGTCCATTTAATTAATTTTGTTAATGGTGATCATTTAGATTTCCTGAGTCACCATGCTTTCCCTCTAGTGTAGGAGAAGTTTCAAGGAAAATTTCTTTTCCTTTCAGAATTGATGAAGTGAAAATAGAAAACACTGTAGGTTTGGTTTTAAATAGAACTGAACAAAATCTTTGAAAAGTTATAATGTTGTCTTACAAAAGATTTTGTGCCATACAGGTAGAAAATTAAAGAGCTAAAAAGATGTAGATTGAAAAAACAAATCCTCTACTTACCAGGTGTGAAATTGTATCGAGCTGAAAATCCCATAGATTCCAGCTCGCCATCAGCAAAAAATTTAATCCATAAAAATCTTCCACTGGATTTTATGACAGGTGGATTTTGTTGTCCACAGAAACGTCCAATTATTGGAGAAAAGCCAAAGGGTCCATCTCGAACTTCAATATGATCAAATTTGCACTCCCAAGATGGTTCGATAGAGTACTTCTCATCAAAGTAAAGTTCAATGCACTGTCTCGGAGCAGCTGCCGAAAGAAAGATTGCACTTAGGAGGCCCTTTCTTAAATATTTAGGTTGACTTTTTCTGATTCTATTTCAGTTTTTACCTGTACATATTCTATCAAACTTTACAGATAAAATACATTATTCTTAGTATTCCAAAGGATAATATTTTCATAAAAATGTCTAAATGGTGGTCTTTAAAACTGAAAATATTGCACAGGATATTATCTGGATATAACTTATTTTCATGCTTAATACAAACTAACATATCACAACATTTTTGTGAAAGGTTGCTAATGCAGGTTTAGAAGTAGAGGGTAATTGTTGTCTTCTCCAATATTTTCTTGAGCCCTCAGGTTTAAGGCCAGAAATCCTTGAAAACTGTTCAGCACAGTTATACAACCATTCAAGTAGTCCTAGTGGAATGTTTTGATTAGACCAAAGTGCTTATACAAGGCATTAAGAGTAATTTTTCAAGAACACAAAACACCTCACTCTCCAGTTTAAACTCTTCAGAGGCTCTCCATCAGCTTCAGACAATGATCAATGCCCTTGACACACAATATCTTTAAGAATATTCTGTTTCTAGAATATTCTCTTCACCTCATGTCACACCAAAGAATCCCATTTTCTAAGACATTGCATTCATTCAAGATTTTATGCATTCTCCTACTTTCTTGAATAGCTGCATATATACAATTTAACTCCTCTATATCCAGGAGAATTTCACTTAAAGTAATCCTCCTACCTAAATATGCCCATGAAAGACAAGAATCCTATCTTATTCTCCTTCTCCATAAATGTCCTTTCAGCTCTCCAACAAGGCTGGAAACCACCCTGCGAATGCATTATTACACAATTTTCCACCTTTACTTGTCCTGTACCAAACAGCCCCAGAGTTCTGGCATTCCTGACTTACATACATCCAAGACACAACAGAGGTCATCCTATCTGTTGATCTATCAACTCACATTTGTCCAGGTTAGTGAGCAGCAGCACCGTGTGCCCTCTGCATGCTTCCCACTCTACAGGATTAAATTTTTCCAGAAACTTGAAATCTAAGATCTAGCAAAGTAGGACCTGTTCCTTATAGGATCAGCATTCATTCTGAATGAGGGCTGTCTATGCTGCACTGATTCCTAAAAATATAATGAACATGACCTACAAGTTAAAGCTTCACATGCATGGATATCAAAGATTTATATAGAATTGAGATATATGATGAACTGGAAATCAGAGACTTACAGAATAAATTATATTATTGATGACTTCCAAGTATAAAATTTTAGATCAGTAAGTTAAAGGTCAATTAGTTTTAAAATTATTTTATAAACTATTTTTAAACTCCAAAATTGTTTACAAATCACTGGAGATTAAAAAGAGATATTTGTAAATATTGTAAGGAACAACATACATGATTTTATCTCACATTAATGTGTTATCACAAAGGGCAACAAACAGCATCCAAGATAACGACAGAACTGAGGAAGCTTTGAAGAATTTTTTGAAATGTGCACATTTGAAAATATATGCAGAAATAACCTAAAAAATATGTTTTATCCCTCAAGTTTTAGTCTACAAACAAAAAGGCAAATACTTTAGGAACTGAGATCCTTTATACATTAGCACTGGATATGCCATTTGTATGCATTATTATCCATGTTAACATTTGTCATAGTGTAGAAGAGCATATGCTTGATCATCACCTCTTAGAGATACCAGTACAAGTTTGATGAGAAAACAAACTATTTCAGATTCTTGAAAACCATTTTAGATGTAAGCACTGTGCAGCTAGGGAAAAGTAAATCAATGTGTCAACTTTCTTAGAATTGCATTTACCTGCCATTGATTAAGAAATGCCTACCTATTTCCCTTATTATGAAATACCTGGCCTTCTAACATGTATTTATTCATTTATTCTTACTTTAATTTTTATTGTCTCTTAAATTCTGTTCAACATGGATAAACAAAACTCTTATTTTTTCAGGGAACATGTTATCCGTATGGGTTTTAGTAGACCATATTATGTGTGGGGAATTAATTTTCTTTGGTTTATTATGATTTAATTAGCTACATAAATTCATATATGAAAAGTACACTATCTGAATTTTATGGGGTAGTAAAGTAACTTTTTAAAAAATAAGCATGTCATAGAATGACAATTACTTTAAATAGCACTCTGACCTCAGAATCAGCCTTTAAGGCATTCTGGTCTGGCTGAAAAGCCCATGAGAGCATTTCAGGCATGGAAAGCCAAGACTCTGTGGTAAAAAAAAATGTCCTACATGAAAGATCTCTGTGAGAGAGACCCCAGTGGAAATAAGCAGCCATCAAAGAAGGATATACTTTTCTCTCAAGGGAGGAGAGAACTTCTACTTTGCTTATGGCCTTGTCTAAATACTGGTGGAGATTGTGGATTCAAAAGGCTTCCACAGCCTTAGCAGCTAATTTCAAGAGCTTTGAGTGATCACTGATGTCATACATAAGAGTGTTAATTGTTAAATCAACAATAGAAGTCACTGTGCACTTACTTCCCATGCAGAACTTCTGTCCTCAATGAGTTTTATTGAGAATTAACTGTAAAATTTGTTCTCAAACATTTGCGTGTGTGTGTGTGCATGAGTGTGTGTGTGCAATTTGTTGAAATCTTTACTTAGTACAGAGTTGGTCTTCTGTGTACAAAGTTAACTGAAAATGAATCTTAATGGAGAATGGGACTGGCAATGGGAGAGGAAGGAGGAGGAGGGGTGAGAGTGGGAGTGGGAGGGTAGGTATGGTGGGAAGAATCACTATATCCCTAAAGTTGTACTTATGAAATCTGTACTAATTAAATAAAAGATTTTCTTGGGAAAAAAATAAGTATGCCAGAGCTGGTGCTATGGAGAAGCCACTGCCTACAGAGCTGGCATATGGGCACCAGTTTGAGTCCCAGCTGCTCCGCTTCTGATTCAGCTCTCTGCTATGGCCTGGGAAAGCAGCAGTACATGGCCCAAGTGCTTGGACTCTTGTGCACATGTGGGAGACCCAGAAGCAGCTCCTAGCTCCTGGCTCCTGGCTTTGGATTGGCCCAGCTCAGGCTGTTGCAGCCGTCTGGAGAGTGAACCAGCAGGTGGAAGATATCTCTCTCTCACCCTCTCTCTTTGCCTCTGCCTCTCTCTAACTCTGCCTTTCAAATAAATAAATAAATACATCTTTTAAAAAATAAGCATGATGTATAGTTCTTGTTGTAGGTAAGAAGCAGTGGTGAGGTACAGGCTAAATGATTGAAGCTATCTGGGTCCAACTCCCTACACTTAGATTCTCTTCACCTTCAGATCTCTCAATTCACAGCAGCTTTCCGCTTTAACATTTTTATTCACATCTTTAAAGTTTAATTTCTTTTGTGAGAGGGCTCAATCTCTCTGAGAGCCTCAAACTCTTTGTGAACTTGAGCACTTAAGCCTGAATAGTGCACATATATGCAAGAACATTTATTGTGGGAGATTTAAGACTACCTGAGATCCATGGCAGGGTCCTCCTATCTTTGACTAAGATTCCACCTGATTCTCTACCCCAATCTGTTTTACTTCAAGGAACTTGACCACTTATTTATCCATATGTGTCTTAGATTTGAAATTTACCATTTTTATGGGCAAGTTATTATTTTTAGAACCAAAAACAGACAATTTGCCCTGTTAAAAGAAAAAGGGGAGGGGGGCAGTGTTGTGGCATAGCAAGTTAAGCTGCCACCTGTGATGCCAGCCTCCCATATGGATACTGGTTCATGTCCCAGTTACTCCACTTCCAATGCAGCACCCTGCTACTATGCCTGAGAAAGCAGCAGAAGATGGTCAAGTATTGATCCCTAGTACCCAGAGAGGGACCCTGTAAAAACTCCTAGCTCCTGGTTTTGGCCTGGCCCAACCCCAGCTCTTGTGGCCTTTTGGAGACTGAACTAGCAGATGAAAGATATGTCTCTCTTCCTCTCTCACTGTCTCTAATTCTCTCAAATAAATATATCCTTAAAAAAAAAAAGCATAGGAAACAACTTGTTTGTCCACTGTAGGTACTGCTGTCCACAAACCTCTTCCCCACCAACAACTCTACTGACTGGGAGTTGGGATCCCAGCCCATCCAACATTGAAACTCCATCCTCTCCATCTGTTGTGACATCCTCTCTCTCATTCTCCTGCCCAACTCCTGGGCTGCTCCTTATCAGTCTGTTGCTTTTATTTTTACTCTACTTACCCTTTAAGTGTTATTTTTCCAAATCTATTCTACATCTCTACTCCTGTCATTGTACACCAAAACCCTGTGTGTCAATATTTTCCTAATGAAAAGTTATAATATAATGATGCCTGCTGCTCTAAGACCAGTTAAATCAGAATTCCAGGGGACATGCGTAGGCATCTATACTTGTTAAGAGCTGAAAAACAGGGCACCGAATCTTCTGTTTGGATAAGTTTATTCATACTAACAATGTCAACAACAATCTCCATATTTATGGATGCTAAATATTTATCTTCAGTACAGATCTCTCCACTAAACTAAAGATTAGTTTTGTCCTTGACATAATTATGGATTAACAAAATTAGGTACACAACATTAAAACCAAATGTTAGTAGTGATTTTTAAATCCAAATAATAACAAACATGAAAACATAATTATCATGGAAAGATTTGCTTCTGAGTTAATCTTCAAAATGAGAACTAGTTGATTATGTTCTTTTTATTACTTTAGATTACTATAATACTATTGTTCCAAAATACAAATTATGTATTGGGATTTAAAAATTCTATTTAACCTCTCTGTGTTTCAGTTTACTTATCTGGAAAATGGGGACAACAAAAATACCCATTCCTATGATTAAATATTTTAATATATGCAATTTCTTACAAAATTCATAATGGGTTATATAGAATATATATACATATATAGTTAATAGATTTTAATATATTGAATCAAAAACAAGTAAAATTAATTTCATTCTACAGTCTCCATATTTCAAATCCTTTTGCTATCAAGCTTAAGAGGAAGCAAGAATGCCATATCTCAGTGTTTTTACTTTTATTGCCTAATACCAGAACTTGTTTTTGTTTCTTGTAGCTTGAGGTATCTTTGCAAAAAAGTTCTTTTTCTAGCACATAGGGCAAGAAAAGATAGTTGTCTCAAAAATGAACAAAAGAAAAAGAATTATTCCTAAATGGAAATTTTTAAAACCAGGTTAACATAAATCTTGTTTATTTGAAAGATCCATCAAATGAGCATCCCTGATTTATAACTAGACTGCATGAAATCTTTTCCATTAACACAGCCCTGTGTGTGTGTTGGCATGGGATGGGGGTTTCAAGAGGGCTGCAGATTTTAGGATATTAGGCACTAACATTTAAAAGATCAAAAGCTTCTATCACCTGAATGGCTGAGTGACAAGGAGACAGGGAAAGACCTAGAGAGAAACAGAGAGGACTTCCAACAACTGGTTCACTCTGCTAGTGGCAGAGGATGGGCCAAGCCAAAGCCAGGAGCCCAGAGCTCCACTGGGGTCTTCCACATGGATGGCAGGAATGTTAGTACTTGGGTCATCATTTGCTACCTTCCCACGTACACCAGCAGAAAGCTGATGGGAAGTTACTCAAACTGGAAATCAGATACTAGGTTACAGCATCAAAACTGGTGGTTTAATCTGCTGCACCACAATACTGGCCCCCAAATGTTCATATATTTTAAAAAGTTGTATGTAATAGCTGTCTATAATGTCTGCAAAAATGGGAAATGTTCACAGAGAAGTGAGGCTCATTTTTAGCACCATTTATCCTTCAAGTTAAGACCAAATGGTGGAAACAAGTGTCATGAATTAGAACCCTGAGTTTGATTTTAAAAACAATGTTAAATGCCAAAAGGCTAAATATGTTTACCCTGATTGGGCATCATACAATGTGTACATGTAAGGAAATATCACATAGTACCCTATCAACATGTGCATTTTTATATGTCTGTTAAAATGTCTTTTTCATTTTAAAAAATGTGATAATGTTACAGGGGAGAGGAAGGGGCATTTAATCTAGCAGTTAAGATGCTCTGGTCCCACACCAGAGTTCTTGGGTTCAAGTTCCAGCTCTGGCTCTTGACTCCAGGTTCCTGCCATTGCCAACCATGGGAGGCAATGATGATGACTCAAATAGTTGGGTTCTTGCAACCCAACACAATAGATTTAGATTGGAATGTTGGCTACAGATTCCTGCCTAGGGCAGGCCCAGCTCCTTGCCTTTACAGGCATTCGGAGAGTAAACCACTGGATGGAGGCTCTCTTTCTCTGTCTTTTAAATAGGTTTTAAAAATGTGATGATGTCTCTTGTTAAAATAACTTTAATAACAACTTACAGATTGTTTTGAAAACATGATTATAGATGCATCTTTAACATTTCTTGTACTTTATAATATTCTAGAAAAAAGAACAAATGTATAAGTTATTCTAATAATTGTTTAACTAATAAACATACTAGTTTCTCAAACCATTCCACACTGAGGAGTAATATGGCAACTATGCATCCATTCTACTACTTGAGAACCCTGTCAACCAATCAACTGTGTTTTAAACTCTTAAATTGTGAATTTATTTTTACTTCCCAGACTTTGTTTGTTTATAGCCCTTATTAATAATATCAGCGATTATTCTGACTCCAGATTTTACAACTACTTGCTTCACTCAAAGGTATTTATGTGCAAGATCTCTGCATTTAATGTGTGTAGTGTCTCTCTGCATTTTTCCATTCCAGTCATGGAGATAGCCAAGTATTAGATCAATGTGCTCTGTTCCTCCCCTCACCTTCTATGATGTAGATGCACTCTCGGTCCGGGGGATACTTGCTGGGATAGTTGGGGGAGGTAAAGATACCTCCCTCTGCATGTTTTGTCCAAGTTCCACACTGTACTGACTTCTGTGTTTCTGAAGTAGTTTGCTTTTCTGGAAAAAATAAAAATAAAAAATAAGAGTCATCATCCAATTTTCTATAATACTGAAAACAGAAGGCATTCTTATAATATCCATTAGCAAATTAATTTCTAAATGTTGTCTTGCTCAAACCCCATCAATTACACACACTATGAAATGATCAGACATTCTGGAATGTTAAGATTATGGGGAAATAGGAAAATCCAAAATAATTAGAAGTCTTCCACCAGCATTTTTCCAAAGAAACACACCTGTTCCTTTCTTGGTTGCCCCAGACAAATGGATGATGATTAAACTTGCTACAACTGAAACAGAAAAGAAAAATTAGAGATAGTATACACTGAATGATCAAATCCTGTAAAATATAATAATCTTAAAGTGATATCAGAGCACATTACTTTCATCACTGTTAACTGTTACAAGCTGACTCACAACTTGCAAAAATGCAATAAAAAACGTACAAATTAGAATTTGGCAGTCCCTTAAGGAAGCAATGCAAGTTGAGAATGGAAGTGGCACATACTCCTAAGGCAAGAATTTCATAACTAAGAGGCAACATGGTACCAAAGTGAAGGCAGGACAGGGACATCAGGACCCACGTCTCGGAGCCACCCCAGCAAATGGGTTTGCCAGCATCAGGAAGGGAGAGGGTCAGACACAAAACAGAACAAGAAAAGCCATGAGCGCTCTATGAGAATCCCAACCAAAGCCAAACTGGCTGTGATTTAGAAAATACTTGGGCAAATCCTATAGGGTGTGGGGGAGGGGAACAGAAGAAATGAAACAGATTAATAAGAATTGGAGGCATTCGACATTCCGTAGCTTTAAAAAAGTGTTTCTTTTTAGAAATGCACCATCTACCAAGTATCCCCCTCCCTCAGCACTTCCAAACTGTAAAATTCATCTCTCCCAATTTTAACTTTGTTTCAATGCTTAAAGTTAGCCAGAAATAGATTATTATTTTGAAAACGGTGTTTTCCATTAGCATATTATTGAGTGGGGTTTTCTGAGTCTCTGATCTGTAATTTAACAGTAAATCTGCAATGCATTGTACTCTGGACTTCTGTTTACAGCCATATTCTTGCTTTACTCAATCCCTTGACAAAACCTAAAAACAGCCAGGTGTTCAGGTCATCTACTCTTCACCTCCTCGATTTTCCTCTCTTGGTTTTTAAATACATGTTGGTGCCCAATTACATAAAATGTCTTCGTCCTTCTTCTCATAATGCCACTTAAAGGGAATTTGGGGAGGCGGGTTTGGAGCTTCAACATGCATACTTGCACGCTGTTCCGAGCGAAGTGGGCCCTGATAGCAAGATTCCAGAAATCATCGGTAGATGACTTTATGCTCCAGCCAGGTCATTCGCCTTTGCGATTAAAACGTTGTGCGTGTGTGTATTTAAATAGAGGGGGAGATCCGCTTCAACTTGCCATGATCTCACACACGCACACACACACACACACACGCCACGGGCACCAGTCAGTGGGTTTCTACTGTTTTCCTGTGTTGAGGAAATCGCGTTAGCGAACACGCACCACGTTGAAGTCCGCGGCGAAGCCGGTCTCCGAACTGCGTGGCATAGGACTAGCACCCGGACGCTCGCCGCCCGGAGGGAAATCTCCACCCCACGTTTTCCTACATCGCCTTTTACTCCATCCACGGTGCCGCGTTCCCCCGGCGCCTCCCCAGCTCCTCGCCGCCAGCGTTTCCACGCTGCCGAACAGCGCGGGAGGTGAGGCTGGCGCCCTCCCTGCGCGCCCACGTTGGGTCCAGGGGCACCGGGGTCTCCCCGCTGGGGCTGAGCAACCAGCCCCTGGGAGCTGGGCCGTTCTCCCCACCCCACAGAGTCTCAGCCCCGCGTGCTCTCTCTCTTCCCACCTGCGCGTTCCCGGGGCCCGAGCTCGCCCGCACGTGCGGACCCTGAGCCGCAGCCGCTCTCGCCCCCGGTCACGGGCTGGGGGGTCCACCTGGACAAAGGCTGGTTCCCCGCTCGCTCCGCGGTCGAGCGGCCACACGGAAAGTTTGCACCTGCCCCGAGACTCCCAGGGACTGCGGGGTCCCCCGCGCGGCCCGCCCGGGGGAGGGCTCGAGGCGCAGGCGGCTCGGCGGGAAAGGTACTCACTGGGAAACAAACTGCGTCCATGGATCATGTCTGTTCCTTACAGCAGAGGCTCCGCGCTCCACTAATTCCATTTAGAGACGGGAGGACTTGCAGCTGTGCGGGAGAGGCTGGGGTCCGGAGATGGCGAAGATGCAAATGGAGAGCAAAACACAGGGGGCAGAGAGAGAGAGGGAGGGGAAGAAAGAGATCCGAGCCCGCCCGGCAGCCAGATCCCGAGGAGTCGTCCCGCGCCCGGGCTCGCGCGCGCTGCGCTCGTTCCTCGTCACGCCGCGAAGCAGGCAGGCGCGGCATGGCCTGCGATCACTCCGGCGCTGGCCGCCACCTGAGCGGGC